GGTGCTGAAGATGGAGCAGTGGGACGTGGCAGGAGGGAGCAACAGAGGTGCTTTTCCAGGAGATCCTCCAGCTCTAGTCCCTCTGCCTTTAGATGCTAAGCTTCTCTTGGAAGAAGGGCCTTGGCCTCGGTCTTTTTTTTTCATTCCCTCCCCCTCCTCCCCTCTTCCCCTCCCCTCCCTTCTCTTCCCCTCCCCTCTCTTCCCTTCCCTTCCTTTCCTTTCTTGGTAGGACTGAAGTTTAAACTCAGGCCTTTGTGCTTGTAAAGCACGAGCTGTACCACTTGAGGCACACCTCCAATCCATTTTGCTCCAGTTATTTTGGAGATGGGGGTCTTGTGAACTATTTTCCCAGGCTGGCCTTGAGCCACGATCCTCCTCATCTCAGTCTCCCAAGTAGCTCTCAAGTAGGATTACAGGTGAGAGCTACCAGTGCCCAGCTTGGCCTGAGTTTTTCATCTCATCCCTCTGTCACAGGGTGGTAGGGGCATAAGGAGACAGCTTCTATGATGGCATCCAGCTCCCAGCTCCTTCACTTTCTTATTGGACATGGAAGGTGGAGGACAGAGCCTCAATGCTTGACTCTTGCCCTCTCAGAGGGTGGACCACGCGTTCCTGTTCTCCCTTGTTCTGCCCGGCACAGAAGTCAAGGAGGCAGGCTGTTGCAGGACCCACTAGCATTTTTGGAAATAGTTTTCTGGGTCTTCATCATGCTTGTGCCAGCTGTGAGGGGCAGAGCCCGGTTTTCTGATGCCAAAACCTAGGTGCATTCCTGGGCTGTTCTGAGTCCTTTTACTGACTTGGCCAGCAGCTTCTCAATGAGGGGGTCTGAATGTTTAGGAAGCATCCTTTATTTAAGTGCAGTGAATTTATTTCCTATTTTAGAAGAAAATGTGGGGAGTTATTCTTTTCTTTATTAGCACCTTATAGTTGTACTGGGGGTACATTGTGACATTTACAAAAGTGCTTACAATATATCTCAGTTAGAGTCACTACTCCATCTCTCTCCTTTATTCCCCCTCTAGGAGAGTTATTTTTTGATGGGAGTGGAGTTTCAGTTTGGGAAGATGGCTTGAGATGGATGGTGGTGATGGTTGCACAAAACTGTGATACTGTAGTACTGACCTGTCCACCTAAAATGGTTAAATTTATGTTATATAAATTTTTATATAAAAATAAATATAGGGCTATCTTTCCCATATGCTGTGGCTTGAATGTAGCCCTTAAGGTTTCTTAATCCCCACATTCATGTTAAGGGTATTTGGAGGTGGAGGGTCTCCCATTTGGAAGGGAATTAGGACAGGATGAGGTCAGGAGGGTGGGGATCCCTTGGGAGCATTAGTGACTTTATAAGAAGAAGAAGGACCTGAGCCAGCACACTTGCTTCAGCTCACTGTGTGATGTCCATACCTCCCACCTTGTTATGATGTAGAAAAAGACCCTCACCAAATGCTAGTGTTATACCCCCCAACTTCTCAATTTCCAGAACCAGGAGCTAAACAATCCTCTATTATTTATAAGATGTCTGGTCTGGAATATTTTGTTATAGCACCAGAAAACTCACTGAGACATCCCATGACAAGAAATCTGGGGTATGCAGCTAAAGGTGTTGGTTCAGCTGTTTGATAACGCTATGTGGGTCCAGAATCTCTCTATATAGTTTTTGCATGATGGCTTTCACTCTGAATTCCAGGAACCTCTGAAGCTTCTTAAATTTCATCTTCTCAAGGACGAAGCATGAGGGAAATGATGATACTTGTGACTCTGTCTTTTATCAGGCAAACAAAAAACTGCCCAGCAGTTCTCCAGTGGAATTTCCTTACATCTCTTTGGTCAGAACTGGATCCCCTTGACTTTGCTGAGCAAAGGGTGGTTAGAAAAGTGCTTGCTTAGCTTCCCAACTTCTAGATCTGGAAAGGTGCCTCAGGGGGACAGAATCTGGGAGAGAGTATTGACTGGACAGCCAGCAAGTTGTGTCCAGTGCTTGGTCAAGGTCACATAGTCCCATGACAAGTTTGGCCAGGCTTAGGACCTGGTCTTCTGATTTCTGGTTCTAAGAGCTTTTGCTTAGACATTTGACACATTTTTTTGATAGCTAGATTTTCTAGAAAAAGGTTTGTTCTGGAGAGTGTCTTTAAAAGAGAGGAACGCTTCATTGTATGCACCGTAATTAATCAAATACTAAGAAGACATGTCAAGAAAGCGTGGGCATGGTGGGAGCCAGAATGCCTCATCTCTGCCCCACCCTGGCCTGAAGTTTGGGGAAACAACCCTTGGTCTCTGTGCTTATGAAATGTGATTTTTTTTCTGGTTAGCATTGTTCATTAAATGTCCATTGTTTTGGTATCTCTAAATGAAAGTCTCTGTCGAAGGACAAACATTTGCTCTTAATTATCCACGTGCTGTCAAATATGGGCTTAGAACACAAGCTGATGAGTTTCAAAGGTTGAAGTAGGATGTCAGAACTTCCTACCATTGCCCAGCCCAGGATCGGAGTGGAAGAAGGGCTCCTGAGAACACTGAAAACCAGGGATGTAAGCAAACAACCCTGTTATAACTACCCTGCCATTGCAAAGAAGCCCAGATGAGCACAGCTGGATTTTCAGGGTAGCAGGGACTTGGTCTCCATCTCTCTGATCTCATCACTTGCTCTTCCCATAGGAGGCACCAAAGGGAAATTGGCGGTAAGCCCGAAGTCCAAAGTTCTCTACTGAGTCTTCTTGGATGACTCCAGGCTACATAGATCCTTCTTTTTCATCCCCTTCTCCAGCTGGAGTTAACATTTCATCTTTCTTTTTATAAGCAGTACTAGACATGGGCACTATTTTTTTGGGCGGAGGGGTAGCACAAGGTTGATAGAGCTCCCCAGCCCCAAGGACTGGCATGTGTCTAGACCCTCAGTAAATACTGGAGCTGGCCCTAAGACAGGATTCCCATGGCTCTATGAGGTTTAGAGTTTTATTTCATGATGTTGCAGGAACCACAGAGTCAATTCCAGGATAGAAGATGGAAGAAACAAGAGCCTCCAACCCCTAAAGAGGGCACAATGCAATTTGGTGCACTTGCAGATCCCTTGCTGGCCAGCCTGCAGAGACATTTCCTGAGCTCAGCAAGGCTCTGACATTGGAAGTACTATAAAAGGAAAGAGTAGCTCTGCAAAATTGGAAATGAAATTGTGCCGAGGAGGGGCAACTGTTGAATTATAGAGGAAAAAAATGCACCCTAGTGGACCTGGAAACAGAACACTTGAGTCAGCTGAGAAAGCCCAAAACACAACTGCAAAGTAGAATTTTTATTAGTTTGGCCTGAGAACGCAAAAATAAATAAATAAATAAACAGAAAATAAATGCAAACACTTTATGGAGGCATGTTCCTTACTTCAAAGTAGCATCTTCATGGAGTGAGAGATGCTTTCTGGTCATGTCTACATGTCAGGTTCACTAGTGCTGATGAGGGAGTGACTTTACAGCATTTTCTCCATATCTGTCTGGTTTTATGTGTGGCTGCTAAGAAGCCACCTGCAACGGTGACAATTTTATGTCCTTAGCCATAATTACACTCGTCGTTCCTCTTAAATCCTAAGAGTCTTTTATCTTCCAGACACCTGTGATGTCTCTGTTCCCCTCTTCTGGGTCTTAGAGAGAGGTGGGGGTGGGGACTGCCAAGAGGCTGATGCTGAAATTCAATTTCAATCTTTTTTTTAAGGCTCTTTTACAGTTCAGACATTCAAAGGCTAATTTGCTTGGAAGTGCAGGTGGCCCTGCATTGCTCATCAACACATCTAGGAAGTCTTCATGGATCCTGGAATTAGTATCAGCTTCTTCAGGGTCCTCCACAGCTTCTGTCTTCATGTCTCCCGTGTGTCCCTCACCCATTACAACTGTCAGTGCTAGCATTGAAGCGTTGCGTTCTTACTGGCTGCCATAAAACCAATGCCCTTCAGCCTTGCTTGTCACTTAAATTCACATTTTGCAAAATTTGGCTGATCCCAATATATCAGATCATGAGAGCCTGAGACATTCAACTACATTCTAGCACATCAATGATAAATAACAGGAATAAATTAATAAATACATAAATTACTTAAATATTTAAATAACACAAGATCAGTGGCAAATGGGGTGTGAAAAATCTATAAATAAATTAGCTCATTGTGTCAGTGGGCATTTAGCATAGGTGGCAATATGGTCCTAAAATTTCTTAAAAAGAAAGCAAGTAGAAAATAGCTTTTTTTCCATCATGTCCTGAGTTTTGTTTTTTTTTTCCTAATAGCTTCCATTTTTCCTTCCAGTGCTGCATCTTGGAATTGGAGCCTGAAAAAGAATGTTGAAAGTCTTTGTGAGTTGGAAATGCAGTAACAAACCCTTCTTATTTCTCACCAAGTTTATCCTAGGCCACTGGGTCTTGGGATTCCAAGTGGGAAGGCCCGGTAATTCCTTCCTTAGGTGGCCTAGAACTAGCCCAGTCCCATGCCGGCCAGAGGCTGTCTTGAGAGTTTTTCTCCCTCTCAGGTACTAATCAGGCCCCACCCTGCTTAGCTTCCCCGATCAGATGAGATGTTGTGTGTTCAGGGTGGGGTGGCTGTAGACTTGAGGGGTTTTCTTAAAAGAATATCTGATTGGGTCACTTTCTCATTTAAAACACTTCAGTTGCTCCCCATGGACCCCAGGACAAGGTTCCAATTCCTGGAAGCTTCCAAGTCCTCCTTGCTTTGACTCCTGTCTCTCTGTGTGTCTTTTTCTGTCTCTCTCTGCCTCTTTTCCTCCCTCTTTGCCTTCCCCTCCAGAGAAGCAGGACCCGTGTCTGTTTCCTTCACTGCACTTCCCTGGGCTCACCACAGTGCCTGACGACAGCATCTATCGAGGAACACATGCATGTTTCTGACGATGGGGACCCCAGGCCCGGCACTCCATCCCCCTCTCCTCACGGCCTGGGCCACCACTGTCCTCCAGCCGGGCACTCTGAGCGTGCAGGTGTGGGCTGGGCTTCCTTTGGCTGCTCACCTAACTGCAGGGCACGGATGCCCACTCGCTCCATGACGAGCTGTAGTAGCGGTCCCTGGCTTGCACGCGCACCTTGCCACCCTTGAGGCACGGGAACGGGACTGCGACTGAGGTCTTGTCCGTGAAGACTTGTTTGTCTTTCTGCAAAGGAGAGGGGACTCAGTGAAGGCCCTCTGGTAATGTGATCACAAGGCAGGAAGAGGCTGCTTCTGCAGAGCACGACCATCCCAAACAAGCACGGGCGGCTCTCAGGCGTTCCGTTCCCAGGGGAAAGCCTAGGACTTGCGCCACCTACTGGTACAAGCTGTTAACGCAGGGCTTTGTAAGCCCTGAGTGAGAAACGGTCTCATCTTTCTTAACTCCCTCCAGTTCGAGGCTGATGGCAGGGCTGAGATGGACTTTCTCGAGTGGTCCCTAGATATTCAGAAATACCCTCATCCGTTCGGCACACAAGCTTGCCTTCAAATCCTGGCACTGCTACTTAATGGCTGTGGAATTTCAGGAAACTGCCAGGCTCTCTGTGCCTTTCTCCATTTATAAACAGGGATGACTATCTACTTCCTAGAATTGTGAAAGCTAAAGGTAGTCATGACACTTTAAGCAAGTCTTTTGCACACAGAAAATGCCCAACTGTTAATAATACATTCGTTTGTTTTGGCTCTATGGGGTTTTGAACTCCGGTCCTTGTGTTTGGCTCTACCCCTTCAGCCACACTTCCAGTCCTCTTCGCTTTAGTTATTTTTTGGATAGGGTCTCATGCTTTTTGCCCTTAGACCACCTTTGAACTTTGATCCTCCTACCTCTGCCTTCCACATAGCTGACATTACAGATGTATACTACCATCCCTGGCTTGTTTTTTGAGATAGGATCTTGCTGACTTTTTTTTTTTTTGGCCTGGCCTGGAGCCCCACTATCTTCCTATCTCCAATTCCCATGTAGCTTGGATTACAAGTATGAGCCACTTGGCCTGGCCCTAATACTCTATCTTTCTATCTTAAATAGGGAAGGTATTTACCAAGATTCTGTGTAATGCTTAAGTAAAATCTATTACAGAAGACGCTTACCTCCCAATCCCCCCTTTTTAGGGAGTGACTCAATCGACTAAATGTACTCTGACGAGAAAGCCTTTGCCCAGTGATTTGTAACAGTGAGGCCTATGGAGTTCTGCTCTGCAAAAGTGTCTCTAGAGCCTTGCAAGCCACAAAGGGACTGTGGTGCTAAGGCAAGAAGGGTGGACAGCTGTTGCATTAGCATATGTGAGTGCAGGCACCTTGCTTAGTGAAATAATTTCACCACACTTGGAGCAGCCAGGCATAACCCATACTGGGTGAGACATATCTGAATGTTCTATCATTCATCATACTCATCCAGTTGAAATAACCATTTCAGGCTCCTGGAGCCTGGCTCTTCTATACTAGGATCGAGTTTAGTGCAAGGTCTCATGGTTGACCCCACTAGAATCAGTGCAGTGGTTAGTTTCACGACATTTGTGTCTAGGAGACTGAATCTCTGTTCTGATGCTGATATAGCTAGCTGGGTGACCTTAGGCAAGTCACAAGCTCTCTGAGCTTCAATGCCTTCATTTGTGAAGGGGTAAAAGCAACACTGGATGCTTTCCAAGGGTTCTCTGTGTGGATTAAATGAGATATACAAAGAAAGCCCTTATCATGGTTCCAGGCACATAGAAGATGCTTTTAAAAAGGAGTTGTTATTATCATCCTTCATCTTCTCCCTATGTGGGCCTGCACAAAACTGACCACAGGGCATACCGTACCTGGATCCCAGCTTACCCTTTCTTTCTTGCTCTTGCCCTGAACCTGAACTGAAAATGTCAGGGAGAAGTAGGAATGTGGAGTGCTCCAGGTGTCAGGATAGTCCCAGCTGACCTCCACTTGAGAATCCGTCGATCCCTTCAGCTGCAGATTCCTGGGTGGGTCAGGCTTAACTGTAGAAGAGGGAAAGCATCACTGATTGTCTGAACAGGGCTTTGGAATCATATGGTTTTGGAATCATAGGGGTTTGGCTCCTGATTTCCCCTTTGCATCTTTGACCAGTTGCGAGTCCATGAGATCGCTCCTTAACTTTTCTGAGCACCTGGCTGGCACCCAGGAGGCACCTCTGCTACAGGTGCTCCTGCTGCTGCTGGGGGAGGAGGTCCTCAACAGTGGCCACTTCCTTTACTCTGGAACCCGAGGGAAGCCCAGAATCCTTCTCGTCACTGCATAATGAGATGGGTCCTGGTGGTGGAGCCACCCTGCTTAGAGCTCAGAAGAAGTTCTTAGTGACAAGAAGACACTCACGTCTGGGCTGCGCAATAAAGTATGCCCTCCTCCTTGTGCTTGATCCCTTGCTTTGAGCTGAGCATGTGGCTGAGCTGAGCCAGTCACTGGGGATGCCAGCCTTTCCACGGATTGCTCTGCTTTCCTTTTTCTTAGCTTTCACCGCTGACTTATCTTGTGGCAGAGTGGGGCAAAATCTATGCTCAATCCGTTGCTTATTCAATCAGTGATGGCTGAGCACCCATTATTATGTGCCACCAGTGGACCGTGCTTAGAGGATGCAGCAGTGTCACTTAGACCCATCCTCAGGGAGGACATCTTCTAGGTGAGGGGAGGGAGGCCTTCCATGAACACACACAGGCTCTGGAGGCCCAGCACTGTTTCACACAAAGGCCATAGCTACTAGTTGGTTCTACACCCATATTCTTCCCACTGTTCTCCCATCCAAGTACTAACCAGGCCTGGCCCTGCTTAGCTTCTGAGATCAGATGAGATCAGGTGTGTTCAGGGGGGTTTGGCCGTAGACCTCTGTTCTTAACACATCTTTCCTATAGGTCTCTGCTGAAGATCCTCCCAGAGAGGGCTTCCCTGGCTGTGAACCAGACCCCCCTTCCCAAATGCCAAGTACAAACTCTCCACGAATTCTGAAGCAAGTTCTGTGACACTATCACTCTTTATCATGATGCCTGCTCAATGAGTAAATGAAATGGTAAAGGAATGGTGAATGGAGATAGCTCCATCTGCCAATTAAAGAACAGATGTCCATTACGGAGGCGTTTATATGACTCTCTCTCTACATATATATGCATACACATATTCCTAGATGGACAGGTAGATATAGATATAGATCATATCTATCATATATCTATCATATATATATCATATATATAGATCTTATCTATATCTATAAAAGAGAATGCATGCAAACCCCTTCCCCCAGGGTCTGGGGCACTTAGCAAGTTCACACCCCTCCCACACTCACTGATGTCCCGGATGAAGAAGCTGCTGGTGTAGTTCTCGTACTTGAGCTTGTGCACAGCATCCAGCACCAGCTCAATGGGCAGACTCTCCTCAGCGGCTGGGCAGGCACTGTCCTCCTGGCACGTCACCAAGTACTTCTTATACTCCCGCTGGTCCACTATGACCTTCTCCGCAGAGAGTGTCGCTGCTCCACAGGTCACTCCTCGGGGGTCAGAGGAGCTGGAGTCACAGACAGAAACGGTCTTGTGTTACACATTGGCGGGCAAGTTCTGGTGACTGCGAGCTGGTGAGGCAGGCAAGGAAGGCCGCAAGGATTTGTCTCAGGACACAATTTGTCTAGCTGAGTTGATTTCTCCCTTTCCAGGAGAACAAGCTTAGCTTCCAGAGATGGAAACTGAGACTTATGTCTCTGGCCTAAATGAATCTAGACATTTTAAAGATCCAGAGTTCTTGCTTAAATCTCCTTATTGAAAATTTAAATTATTTTCTCCTATTCTGTGATTTTGTTAAATCACAAAATCAATGCATGCTAATTATACAAATTTAATGATAAAGGTATACATGTATATATATATGTATATATACATATGAAATATGCCTCTGACATCCCCTTTTTAATTCCCCAGATATAAATACTATTCATGGTTTGTTGATTTCTGTCAGACCTTTTTCCATAGATAGTCAAGATAATCATATATGCATATGTGCATATGTTTTATATATACACCAACAGATTTTTAAAATAAGATCAGATTATATGCAGGTGATTTTGTACCCATTTCCCCCTCTCTGAACAACAGAATACATAGCTGGGCTTTTCATTTTTAACCAATGCACCTTAGGGCATAATCTACTACACTTTTAATCATTCCTGTGCTAATTGCCAAAAAGTCACAATGTGCCATATATATGCACCCATGTCTTCGTGCCCTTCTTTAAGCACTTCTCTAGTGAGCACTTCCATTTTAAAGATGGGAAAGTAAGGCTGCAATGCTAGATTTGCTTTTTAAACAGAGGTAAAGTCAGGATGGTCACCTAGGGTCTGCTCTCCCTCCCTGCACTGCTCAAGAACATGGCTGATGGTTAAAGTCAGCCACAGTGGGCTCACACATTGCTCTGTATCCATGGAAATTGGCTTCTTAGGAAAGTGCAAATGCATCAGACAAACAGCGAACTTCAGAATAGTGAGGTAGGCAAAAGAGAAAGGGGATGAAATAGCCCTGGGAAATTTTCAGATATCCTAGAGTTTTGGAATTTGCTTCAGGGCTTCCAACATCTATGATCTAGAGCCTTTGTTTCTATTTTTGACTCAAGGTACAATTTTGACAAGTCATTTGTAGTTTTGATATCTTCTTTTAATTTTTCCCTGTAATGCTATGAGCCTTAATCAAGCATTGCCAGGCAATTTGCATGAGTGGAATCTAATGCTGTGAGACTTTTCTCAGGCTCTGATAGTACCCTGTTCGAACATAGGCATTCCCTGAGGACCTGCTCAACTCTCCATGGTCTTTTGTCAACTCAAGCAAGAAAGGGGGGTTGAAAAAATAAGGAACTGACTTTGTTTTCCCAGAGTTTGCCCTTATTTTCTTAAAGAAATAAGAAATACACAAAACGCTGAGAAACCAGGGTGGCTTCACTTACCCTCTGCTGCTCTTGACACTGAACCTCACATCAGTGCTGATTGCTGTCAGCCACCAGCAGGTAAAATGTCCAGAGTAATTTGTTGCCTCACATTTTAGAAAGGTCTTGTTTTTGGGTTCTGGATTTGAAAAGAACAAAAGTCCATCATGTAGGAATTTTCTTCCAGACAGATTTTTGATTGGAACTCATCACAGAGTACCAAATAGTATAAAGGTGACATCCTTCCATTTATTTCCTTGGAAAATGGAACTTCAGCAAAGATTAGGAGTGTCCCAGAAGCTGATTCTGCCTGTGTACTCAGTACACACCTAACACGTCAAGACGCTGGCCCAGTGCTGAGTTACGCACTGTACACTTTGGTTGACTTCTATTAGACATCCAATAACATCTCTGTTACTTAAAGAGAACCTTGGGACCAACATTCAGACTGACAACAAAACTCTCATTATGAGACTTTGATGGCTGATAACGCAAAAGTTCTAGCAAGAAAGAAAAGGAAGTTAGAGGTTCTGGATGGTTCATTCATTATACTAACCATGCTTTGCATTTATGATTTCTAATTTTTGCATATCTTATGAAAGGAAAGATTACACTATCCAGGGGAATGGAATTACCTTTCTGGTCCTTTAAAATATCAGTGGACCAAATTCCGTCTTCCTTTTTGTGAAGCAGCAGGATCGAATGACTCAGAACCTCGCCCCCTTTGTGACAGGTGTATCTGCCAGCATCTCCGAACTCTTTGACTTGGACGGTCAGGGTCTTGCCAGAGCCTAAAACCTCATTGCTCTGGTCTGAGGTCCAGGTGATGCCATCTTCTTCAGGAGTGTTGCAGGTGAGGACCACTGTTTCTCCAGGGGCATCAGGATACCAATCCAACTCAACGACATAAACTGGGGAGCACCAGGAATAGAGAACCGGACTTGAAGCAGCATGAACCCAGAACTGTTTTTTATTCACTGTCTGGGCATCCCCACTGCCTAAGCACAACCTTGCTCATAAGAGTTTGCAAGGGCTTGCTGAGTGGCACGAAGCCCCACTTGGGCACAAGGTCATACAGCAGAGAAGCTAAGAGTTCCACTCGTTAACTGGCAGGCTGACTTTACCAATTAACCTCTTATTAGTAGGCTAAGGGAAGACCTTGATAGAGAGAAAAATGAAAATGGCACAAGATTCTCTGCCAAAGACCTGGGGGAGAGAACCTTCCAGCACAATTCCAATTCACAAGGGATATGACCGGCTACAATACTTAGCAGAGTAACATAGTGACTGAAAGCAGAGGGTGTGGAGAATGACTGGCTAGGGCAGAAATTCTGTCTCCTCCAACTACCAGGACATTTAGAGTGAGGCACAGTAGCACCATAAGCTTCAGTCTCCTCATCTGCAGAACGATAAAACACAGTACCTACGTTGTAGGTTTGGCTGTGAGGATTAAATGAAAAAGGCTCTTAGCACACATGGGAAATTGTGTCAGTTACTGTTATTCACAGATCAAAAAGTCAGTCAACTGCATGGAAAAATGCTCTTAAAATTTTCCATGGACACTAAAGGACTTAGTACCTTCTGCATGAAACAAGCCAATGGAGATTTTTGATAACTCTTGAGTTTTTGAAAAAGCTATCTTACTCTCTTCTGAAGCAGTCCAGCAGGTCAGAATCTCCCCATTCTGAGGAGGAGGGTACTGAGGCCAGGAGCCTAGGCCAGGTCACATCCCATGGGAAATATTTTAAGAGCTTAGCCTCTGCCTCTGGTGCTTTACCACGGGCATCCTAATGCCGGTACCTAGGTCAACATCTGGGAAAGAGCTCAGTCTAGTATTCAGAGAATGCGTCTCGTCAATGCTTCATTCATTTGTCTATCCAGGCATCAACTGTTAACTGATGCAGTGACTCTCAAAGACGGATCACCAACCACCACCATCAGTGTCATCAGGGAACTTGGTAGAAATGCAAATTTTCAGTTGGTGTGAAAGAAACTTTGGGATGGGCCCAGAGATGTGTGTTTTAAGGCTCCTAGATGAATTAGATGTCTGCTCAAATCTGGTGGCCACAGTGGTGAAGAGCCTGGATTTTGGAGGGACATAGGTCTAGATTAGAATCAATTCTAGGCCTTACACTACCTTTGGCCTTGGGGGGTGGTGGTACTTAACTACTTTAAGCTTTGATGTTGTCTTCATCATCTTTAAAACAGTACTTTCCTTAGACATGTGGGTTATATAAGCTAATTTGAGTAAGGGTTTAACACAGTGCCTTCAAATGCCCTACAAATGGTGACACTTATTATTGGCATCAAGTGTAATGCATTGTGCCATCAATGGGACTTGCAGCTTTTGAATGGGTAACAAAGAGGTAAAACGTGCTTGGGGCCTAACTCTGGAAATGATTAGACGTGTTGACACAAAACCCTATGGAACCCTTGGCTTTATCTAGTTTTTCTTCGGTCCCCAGGCAACAGAACAGTATAGCTATTTTCCTGTCACAACTAAGACAGGGCCCTAGAGGACCCGGATCCGGGGATCGGGAAAGCAAGTGCAAGAGGAAGGATGAGGAACACTAAAACCCAGTGCTTGGCTTCAGTTCATCATCTCGTTTCCTGGGTCAAAGGCCTCTCAGCGTTTCTCACATTGACTTTCTGGAATTCCTGTGGTTTGTCAAGTCAGAAGCAACTAAGGGGTTAAACAGTTCCTGAGCACGTGAAAAATCCCAGGGTTGGGGACATCGGGCATACTTGTCTGGCTCAAGTCTCTGCCTTTCTGCAAGGGAGGGTCCAAAACTCTCAGGCCTTCATGGGGGTGCATGGGGCGGCTAGTCTCCCTGAAGGAACCACCCCAGATTTCTCTGTCACACATTTTACTGTTGTATTCTCTTGACTATTAAGAGATTATTTCTGATCATCAGCTGAAATCTTTTCACCTTAAATTTATTCCTTTTTCTCAATTCTCTAACAACACACTTCATGTCCTTCTTGTAAAATCTTCAAATACTTAAGTGCACAGGCCTTGAAGTGAGACAGACATGGAATCACGTCCCTGTCCTACCCTTGCCAGGTATGTGACATAGGGAAATTACTTAATCTCCTGAGCCTCAATTTTCAACATCTATAAAATGGAATATAGTTAGTCTCTACTGCATACAATTGCTGTAAAATTAAATGAGATCTGGTATTCAATAAATATTAACTATTATTACAAGTATTATGTATTTGAAGACAATAATGACCGGTATTATTATGTTGGCTTTAATGAAACATCTGGGTACAACCCACAATCAGGTTGATGCCTATTTACCCAGTATAAGATACTAGAAGGATAGAGAGTGCCTCTTTCTACTAATACCTGTTCTATTAGCCCACTAATAATTTTTACTTTTCATTGGAATAACAAAAAGATCAGAGGTATCATTTTGAACAACCAAGACAACAATGCTGCCTAACATTGACTTTTACCTTCCACTTATTGAATCGCCTTCTGTATTCACTGACACATTGAATAGCCCATGTAGCAGGTGTCACTTTTTTGTTGTTATTTGGTGGTACTGGGGCTTGAACTCAGGGTCTCATGCTTGCTAGGCAAGTGCTCTACCACTTGAGCCACTCAGTTAGGTGTCACTTTTGAATGCCCAGTGTTCAGTTGAGGAAACTGAGGCTCAGAGATGGCCCATTTCAAGGTTCTAGAACCAATAACTAGCAGAACTAGGATTTGAGCCCAAGTCAATGTGAGTCTTGATCCTAGGCTCTCTCCAAAGTAGTCGGAGATAAATCCTCATCAACTGAGGGGGCAAGACAGTGTGGTGGAATGGGAGATGATGGACAGTAGTCCTTACACGTTCAAATCCTTCACTTGGGAATTTTAATCAGATGAAGCACCTGGTTAAAACCAGGTGTTATTGGCAAAGACAATCTTCTTTTTCCCACCACAGTCTACAAAAAGCTTCCTTTCTTGTCTTCCAACATGAAAACCAAACGAGGTAGATATCTTGAAAATGAAAGAAGGAGCTGTGACTGTGCATTTCCCCAGAGTAATATCTCTCATGAAGAAGACCCAATCCATGGTGGTCCACTTCATTCTTCATCCATAACAGCCCTGGCTTAGAGCCTGGGGCCTCCATGGAGCATAAGAGAGACTGCTTACCATCTTTCTCCAGTTCCCAGATGGCCACGAGGGGTGACGCCAGCAAAACCAGGGAAAACCAGGAGATGGCCAGCTTCTGGTGACACATCTATAAGAGGGGGAGAAACAGCAGGAAGAGAAGGAGCAAAAGAAAGGGAAGAGGAAGCAAAAAAGGAAAGAATATCAATAATTACTCAGTTAGCTTTAGAAACCATATCTACATCCTATCTACATTTTTCTACATTTTATCTACATTTTTAATCTTGACTTTCCCCTTTCTTCTCTATGCTGTCCGCTCATATGAAGTGAATTACAGGAGCCCCAGAGAGTCTCTGGGAAGGAACATCTCCAGATAGAGAACCATAGCTGTCTGGAGGTGAAAGAGACCTAAGGCCCAGCTGTCTGACACAACTCTCTTTTTAAATAAAAGTTTTTAAAAGATGAGAATCACAAGTTTAGAGAAGGACCATGATTTGTCTCGATCGATCAACATTAAGCAACTATTTATTTAGTTCTGATATGATACTAATATAATACTTGGAAAGTATTAAGCTAAGAACAGAGTGCTTCCTAGGAACAAATACTTCCACCCACCAGTATCAAATGCCTGTCCTCCATTTGGGGAGACAGGCTACATAACTGCCTCACCATACAGCACGAGGCAGTGTGTTGGGGAGCCCAGAGTTACAGGACTTGGGTTAGGCCTGGGACAGGTAATACAGAGGTGAACTTTCAAGTTCTGGCAACAACCTGTAGAGGTTTAGTTTTTTTTTTGTTTGCACAGCAATTGCTCCCAATTCCAAGATCACTCTCTCCCACACAATGTAACCCAGCAGTTCTCCAAGTTGACGGTACATCAGAACAATCTGGAAGTCTTACTAAAACAGTGTCTGATTCAACGCATCTTGGAGTAAGGCCTGAGAACCAATAAGCTTCCGGGCAAAGATGGTGACACTGCTCATCTGGGGGCCACACTTTGAGAACCAGTGGATTAACCCATGTTCAAGGCCTAGAACTCCAAGAAACCAAGATGTTCTTTGGGAGAAGACCATAAAATATTGACATATCCACCATGAAATAATGAAATGCATAATTTTGTGCTAAATCGTTATTTTATATTAAAACCTAGTCTAGGTTAGTATGCAGGGTTTATGGGAATCTTCAGACTACGAAAAATCACACTGAACTTATAAATGAGGTCAGAGATGATTATTGCTTACTCTCCTTCTGAAACACCTCCATTTGTCTTGGAAACGTGATTTCAGGGATCACATGAAGAACGTAGCTTTGTCAGAAATGCTAACCTTAGGGGGATCTTGCTACATGTTTTAATCCCTTAGATTTTAAAACTCGTGAGTGGCAGAGACAGGACTAGAACTCAGGCTTTCTTGCAGATTGCTCATTGTGCTAGTGTTACTGCAGGATGGAGTTTTAGGGACACAGCTATCCACTCAGTCTAAGTTATGGCTGTAGCTTAGTACGAGGTGGCACAGGACACTGGTCGATACATTCATAAGCTAGTCAAATAGATGTGGGCTTGAACTCTGGTCCCACCACTCACTAGCTGTGTGGTATTGGCCAAGGTACTGTGATTCTCAGTCTCCTCATCTATAAAATGGGCGTTATAACAAATCAACTTGTACCAGCAGAAGAGAACTGGATCTTTGTTTTGTATAAAATGGATAGCCAAAAAAGTCACTCCAGGCTACAGGGAGATGCCCAGAGAGGTACTGCAATTACATGGGTCTGTAAAACCCAATGTTGACACTCGGGGACAGGAAATAAAGGAGATTCCTGGCAACTCCATGTGATTCCTTTACTCCTTACTGCCGGGATTTTCCCTTTGGCCATGTGCCAAGCACTTCCTCTCTGGGCCTCACATGCACTGGAGCAATGCAGGGGAATTGTATTTCAGGGTAAAGGGAGCCTTGGGGATGTTTTAAGAAACAGCTCCCAGGCTGGGGGCATGGCTCAAATGGTAAAGCATCTGTCTAGTAAGCACTAGGCCCTGAGTTCAAATCCCAGTACCACCACCACCAAAACCCAAAATCTAAACCACCTCCTAATTTAGCATCACCAACATTTTAAACACACAGAACACTGGCAAGGGCTGTGGTGGATGATCCTCTTAATTAAAGCCAGATAAACAAAACAAGAGTGGGTTGCATGGTCACCCTTTGGCCCTGGCTGATCAGCAACCACAGGGAGGTATACCCCTCAGCCCACATTCCCTTGGCTTGGCAAATTTGAAGCTTGAGGATTGCACTGTGTTCATTCAATTTCACAGGTTTTCTAAAGTCCTGAAGCCCCTGCATAAGTGACAAAGGAAGCCCAGGTCTAGTGTTCCTGCTTGCTGGGGTATACTAATGCTGGCATGCCAGTGAGCTCACTGAGTGAGCATCTCCCTTGCAAGTTTTATTTTGTTTGCTACTTTTTAATTAGAAAAGAGAAATATTATTTAAAATGAAAAAGACATAGTCACGGATGGCCTGGGTGACACAGGTGGAGGACCCCAGTTCTAGAGCCGGGCAGACCTCTAGAATCTACTACTTGTTAGTTGTGTGACCCTGGGCAAGTGACGTTTACTTCTTTAAGCCTCATGCTCTTAATCTATATAAGTGGGTACCCTGTTGGGGTGAGGATTAATGACATAAATCATGCAACAGGTCCAACATGGCACTCTGATGAAATTAGGCTGCTCCCTGCTAGCTCTTCTCACCTCATAGCTCTTACTGCAATGGTGATAACTTGGTTACTTCATTCATTCTGTCCCACTGTACCCAGGTCTCTGATGGCAGGGATCATGTCTATCGTGTTTTATACTTTATATCCAGAGTCTATCCTAGAAGGATTCTAGGAGTTATCAGTACAAAAAAATGGAGGCATAGAAATTCTATAATTTCCCAGTAAAATGAATACCAAGAGGTGGCTCCAATTCTATCCAATACCTTGCAATTCCTTCTTTGAAAAGAGTAAGTTAAGTGAGGGGCTAGTGGCTCACACCTGTATTCCTAGCTACTCAGGAGGCAGAGATCAGGAGGATCTTGGTTCAAAGCCAGCCTGGGCAAATAGTTTACGAGACCCTATCTCAAAAAAAACTCTTCACAAAAAAGGGCTGGTGGAGTGGTTCAAGTTGTAGGCCCTGAGTTCAAATTCCAGTACTGCAAAAAAAAAAGTGAGTCAAGAGCTGGGGCTTTAGTGCTCCCTTGGTTAATCCCCTCAGATTTTAACCCAGACTTGTTGTTGTGCACAGTAAGACTCCAGCACAGTAAAAAAGAGCCGATCCCCACTTCTCAGAGAAGCTGGAACCCCTCAGAAAGTAACTTTCAACACTGTTATTGCTTTGCATTTTTTAAATGGTGCCAAAGTTAGTAAATCTGCAAGAACCTGAGGACCCGGCTACTCAGTTTGGTTATCACAACTGACTAAGCCCATCACGGACACGGAGCAAGTATGGTCTGTTGCGTTTAGCTTTGAGGCACAAGTATGAATTCAGTAACTTTAAGGAATTATGAAAGACTTTTAAAAAGTTTTCAGTACTAAGGCAAGCACTGCCTTTAACTGGATACAATCCTTCCACGGGTTAGTAATTAGTCGCACACACGCACAGAAACAAAGCACCTTTTTATTCTACTAAGTGCACATTTGTCCACATGCATAAACATCTACAAAGCACCTTCCCATCAAACACACATTTGCTCATAGGCCTTGTATACAGTTACTACTATTTTTTAATACAAAAATTGACACTTTATACATCAGTCCCCAAAGTGCCTAGTTTTCACCAGTACCCCAGCAGCTAAGTCACCAGCAAAGATTCCACGACAGTGCTTCTAACACCACCAGGTTCAGTCCAGAGGCTGCACACCTTGCAGTCTGTGGCTGGACAGCCTGCAGGGCAGGGGTGGCAGCACACAGGGTCACACTTACCTTGCTTTTCTGCAGGTTGTGTCCGATGGGTCTGAACCACTGTTTCTTCTGCTGCCTTGCTGCTCCTGGAGTTTATATACCCTTACTCCTACCGAACTTTCAGATGGAAACCCAAACTAGAAACTGACTTGTTCCAAGTTGCAACATTGAAAACTACTCTCAAAACCTTCTGGGGGAATTTCAAGTAGTTCCTTTTTTTCCCCCTCTCTCTCTCTCTCTCTGTGTATCAATAAGGCTGAGAGAACACAGACATCAAAATTCCAGGTAAGAGGAAATGACTTTGGGGTGGGGATGCTAATTTCTTTGTGTTTACATCATGACCAGGGCTCTCAAAGGCAACATTAGGCAGCCTCCCAGGGTTCCACAGTGGGGAAAAAGGAAGGCCAAGGGGAGGTCATCCCAGAAGCTGAGTTGAAGTTCATTTCAGAGTAATTGTATGTGAGAAGGCCCCAAAGAAAATTCACGGGTCTCCTGAAGTCATGGATGACAAGATGACCAGCAAAGGGCTTAGTGCCTGAGCATCTATCTGGACACAGCCCTGGGGAGGTGATAAAATGTGTGTCTCTCTAATAAGACTCAGTGTGTGCAGACTTATCCTGTGCTCCTAGGTACTCGCTCATGGACAGATGGCAGCAGAAAGTGAAATAGCCACAGGCGAGCATACAGGCAGACTATATATCATCATTTCAGTTGTACACTTATCAATGGCCCCGGGAGCCCTGCACAGATGCACAGGATTAGGCGGAATAAAGTCTTTCCTCTTAGCATCATTTACATTTGCTAAGAGATGTGCAAAGGTGTACACTGGTGGCAGCACCCCCTTCCCTCCACCCCCTTCTGCTCCAGAACAGAAACACATACGTTCAGGCACACCAAGTACACAGACAGATGTGGCCGTCCCCAGAGCCGCCGACAGAGGGCGCTGTGGCGAGGCGGTCCCGGGCCAGGCAGCCGCTTCTCCATCCCCCGCCGCAGGGGAAGTTCCTGGGGCTGCGGCTGGACCCGGCCAGGTTTCGGGTGGACCCAGATTTCCTAGCTAACTTTCCTCTCATTGTCAGTTGGGGGGAAAACGGGAAACTTGGCGAGAGCTGCGGAGCTTCCCAGCCGCACACTTCCTCCCTCCCGCCGCTGGTCCTGGCCCGGCAGGGCGGGGCCGCTAAGCAGGCAGCCCCACTCGTA